CACAAAGGCAGCCTCAGCTCCCTAATTCCTACTTCCTCCATTTCTGCACACAGTTTTAACTCCTAAAGAGCAATTCTTAATGGAGGGCTGTAGGGTAGGCAGACTAGTTATACTCACAGCCTCCCCTTGCGTCTGGGGAGGTGACAGTTCTGAACTAATAGCAGGAACAGAAAGTCACCTGGGCTTCAGCGGGTTAATGGAAGCAGAGCAAGTGACAACAGGAATTCTATTATTACCAAGCACCTGTAACTCACACTGGGCGTGGGACAAAGGGATTTCTGGGTTGCTTTTATTCCCCCAGGTGTTCATCGCCCCATGTTAATGACTCGCGTTTGTGGTTGGCTGGAAGCAGGGACAAAAGAGTGGGGAGCAAGGCATAGACAAAGGGCTAAGCCACTTGGCTTGAGAGCTGAGGTTAAACCCATCTCCCGGACCTTAAGTTTCCTACCACACAGGTCAGGGTAGAGTTTGCCTCAGAGGAGCCAAAGCCTCAGGTAAAGCTGTGCAGAAGTGCAGGCTCAGTTTTTAGGAAATTGAACTTTAGAAAAACTGAAATGGCTATAGGTATAGCTCTAAATACAGAAACAACCATCTCTGCCGTGGGTGGGATTTGGAAACCCCTCCCTGCCCCAGGAGTGACTCAACGGCAACCGTAATCCTTCCCGCAGCACCTCCCTAAATGCACGCTTCCCAAAATATGCTTCATCTAGTTGAGTTGGTGAAGCAGGAGTTAGTGTCTGTCAAGTGATCACTGATACTAGTTTTTAAATAGCGCAGACGGTGAGCAGAGCGGTAGGTGAGAGGTTATCTTCTGCCTCCTTTCAAGATGTCACATACAGGTCTCTGCTTTGCAAAGGGCATTCCCTGAATGTGGAAGGTTTCTTGCAGGTTGATGGAATTAATTCCAAAGGAGTAAAATTCCCCTGGAGTGATTTATTTCCATAGCTGATATTTTATTATATGTGACATGTTCCAACATTTCCTGGAGTCTTTTTCAAGCCAAGCCCTGGAGCTGCCACCTGTTTTGCCCCAGGCACCGGGCTCATAATTCTAATAGAGACCAGTAGGTGAGTGGTCGTGTTTATTACTAGGGTCTGAGGCCCTGCTGTTCTCAGCTGTGGTTGACCTGGGCTGAGGCACAAGAAAACACCTCTAAGAAAAAGCCTTTTGCTTTTTCTACAGGCACTTGATTGTGAAAACAGTAGTCGGATTACAGTGAAGCCTCACACTCAGCAGCCCCAGCGCGTGACAGCTGGTCTCCCTCTCCTGATAGCTGACAAGTCGCCCTGGCTCCTGCCCTCTCCATCCCCAGTCTCGCCTGCTTATGCGTCTCCATCCTCCAAGGCCCGGGAATCAGCTCCTCTTAGAAGCTTCCCCAGATCCCACCCCAGCCTGCAGGCTGCTCAGGCACCCTGCTTGATGTCCCCACAACGTCATCTGTACCTCTGTGTGGTACACTGCCTATATTCCTCCGCGGCACTAACCCACACTGGGTGCCGTGCGCTTTGTGTCTGTGAGCTTCCTGAGAATGGCTGTGAAGTCTCATTTGTTTAGGAGATTTGGTCCCCGCCCAGGGCCCTGGCATACTGTGTGTGTTCAGGAAACACTTGTTTTTGTCGTGAACCTTAAAGGAAGTGTAAAAGATCTCTGAAAGCTGCAGTAGGTGCTATAAAGCCTACGTACCAGAACTCAGACCCCTGGGACCCAAACCAGAGCCAATTGATTCTTGTATGGGATGCCATTCCAAAAAGCCCGATGGCCTGGTTAGGTCAGGCAGCAGAAGGGCCATTAGGGGAGAAGGCGCAGTTATCAGTGTTCCTTAATAATGGCTAGCAAAGATAAGAAGGGCCCTCTTTCCGTATCTGCTTTCCAACTCCCACTGCCTGAATAACTGCTCTCTCAGCCTCACAGCTGCGTGTTTCCAACGTCCAATCTCTTATCTTTCAGATGAAAATAAGGAAAATATGGGAGAAGCACCTGTGATTTTAGTTTGCTTCCAGTGATAAGAGTAATACACACTCATCGTGGTAAACCTTGAGAGATACTAAAAAGTATAAAGAAGACATAAATGTCTTCCCAGGTCCCACAATGAAAAGCTGGCTTCTGTCACTCTGTAGGTACTTTTTTGTCCTTCCTGTGTATATCTGCATTTTTGGCTACAGCTGAAATTATTCTACACATTCACATTGATGGCCTTTTTTAAACTGGAAATATCTTCGTTGGAGCCAATCCAGCTTCGGCAGCAGCTACTGTTCACTCGCCCTGGCCAAAGGGACCTGAGGACATGCCCATTGCAGTTTTATTTCTGCTGATGGCTCCTCACTCACTGCCTGCACCCCCAGCTAAGGATGAATGGGTCTTCCTTTCTAAACACTGGAGATTTTTGTCATTTATCTCCTTCTCTGCAAAAGTAATCTTGGGGAAATCACTGCCAAATCTTTACCCACCTCTGCAGCAGAAATTTTAAAATAGCGTCCACAGAAGTACAGGTTAACAGAAGGTTTCCTCACAGCAAAAACATTTTGCTCCTGGATAAACATGTTTTTGTTTTCTACCTGATGACATCATTTGAGGTCTTTGGTAGGATGGGCCATTACTTTTTATTAAGTCCTTGTTATATCTCCAAGGGTTGCTTGTCGCCTGCGGGCTGTGAGCGGTACTCTGTGTCCTGGGTGGTGTCAGACAGGAGGTTAGAAATGAGACTTACTGGAAAGAAGCAAAGTAGGGCGGAAGCCATGTTTTCGCAGTTCTAAAGCTCAGGCTCCCCTTGCTGTGCAGCCCCTGGGAGCCTGCCAGGGTCCCTGTGTTATCTGAGAATCTGCCTCCAGGGCTGGGGGCGGGGCTGAGATAGGAGAGAGGGAGCAAGACTGGAGGGCAGTATTTTCTCCCCCCAGATCTGGAGGTCAGCCCACGATCTGGCTTTTTGGATGTTAGATATGGGAATTTGTGTGTGTGTGTGAGCTAGAAATGGGTGAAGTTTCCTGTGGCACACCGTTATCCTTTTCATGCCAGCTGCCTTAGAAGCTCTTGCCAACTGCACTTACAGCAGCCTAAGGAATGGCCACTTACCTACTGACCCAGTTCCAGTAATCAGGTGTTCAGAGCCATTGGAATTCATGTGACAGCCAGCAAGATGCACTAAGAAGGGGGAATAGCTTTATTAATGAAAATGCGTAAGTCTGACCTCCTTGCCGAGGGATGGTTCGGGGTGGCTTTTACCACCTTAGTCTTCCTCGCCCCCTCCCCGCCACGGCTGCCTCTCCACTGGACACAGCATCAGCATAAAAACTTACTTTGCATTTGTGGCTTTTTGAGGTGTCTCTGGCACACACTTCCCTACCCCATGTGGTTGCTGACCTGCTAATCCATATGAGTCCTGCCCATTTAGAAAATACAGGACACCCATTGCTCATCAAAGCTCGTCCCACCCAGTCCTGCCTCTCCCCGTGTCAGTCACCCTCGGGCGGAGGCCAGCAGCTCAGTCAGACGGCTTGCTGGGTTTATGCAGCTTTCCTGGTGGCGCATGTCGGCCAACCTGAAGAGCCGTCTGTGGTGGCGGCAGCAGCTTTTGTTTTTGTGACTCTTACCATTCCCTCTTCACGCTTACATTCTTGCTTCTTGTTAGCAGAGAGAGATGTCTAATAGATACGGGGGATTTTTTTGCTTCTAATTAAGGTGTTACTTAAAATAGGGACAAGGAGAACCTAAGTTGAGCTGTCTTATGATAGGGATATGCTTAGTGACACGAGTGACGCAGTGGGAGCCAAGTAGGCGCAGGCGTGGTGCTCTGCCCGGGTTCAGCGGTGACCGGGTGGAAACCCTCTGGCCAGAGTCGGTGGCACTTAAAACCCCAAGTACAGATGGGCTCTGCATATCCACGTCTTTGGTAAAATACCAATTTCCTCGCAAAGTGACCTCCAGCCCCCACTAAAGGTCTCCCTGGCCCTGCGTGGACACAGTCCTCCTGAAGCCTGGGCTCACGTGTCACTTGCTCGGAGACCTCGCTTGACCCTCAGGCTTGTGACCAGATACTGTGCTTCCTCTGCTTTTCCTTCACAGGCTTATCAGAATTTGTAGATTTGCTTGTTTATGTGATTTTTTATTTTTATTTTTTTAAGCAACGTGTTTCTCACACCAGACTCTGTATGGGGAGAGGCTGTATCTGCCTTGTTTTCTCTCTGTCGGGTCCCCAGCACCTGACTCAGTACCAACTAACAAGGGACTTCACAAATGTTAGCGGAATGAGGAAACCTCTTGATCGCCAAGGTTCTTGAAATAAAATGTCTTACACCGTATATCTTAAAGGCATCACTTTGTAACGAAGACTCACACATTCCTTTCTTTAAGCAGTCTGAATTTCCACAGGACTCCATTCACACCACTTGGGTACTACTTATTACACTGGATGGTAACTTTTCTAAGAGTCCATGTCACCTGCTAGGTTAAGGGTCCCTTAAGGTGGAGCGGCGTCCTGATCTTTTCTGTGTTCCCGCTCTGGAGTTGTAATCCTCCGACAGGCTGAACGGACTTTCCAGCGTGGAGGCTATTCTGAAGCTGCCATTCGACTTCTGTTTGGCCCACTTGTCTAAAGGGTTTTTCTCTGTCCATGATCATTCTCTGCCCACTTGTGAGGACGAAAGCGCCTGTTAGAAAGGCATTTTGCCTTTTGATTTATGTTCCTCTCGCGCAGTTCCCTGGCCTTCCAGGTGCAAAGTTAGAACTAGAACCACAGGCTCCTGATGCCACCTCTACTTTTGATTTCATGTAGGAATTCAAGGTTGTGCAGAATTACCTCCACGAGATCCAGGCGCTGCTCTTCCAGAGGGATCTAATCCCACCAGTCCCATCGTGCTGCCCCCGACCTGCTACCGGGATGTTGTGCTGAATATTTCCACTTGACAGTCTCTCCTCTCCAGACCACAGCCCTAGTAATATGATGCTGGTTGAACTCTAGGCTAATTGCTACACCATATTGGAGCTTCTCTTGTGTTTTTATCCAGGATCGCCTGTTTTTTGTGATGGAGTTTGTGAATGGAGGCGACTTGATGTTCCACATCCAGAAGTCCCGTCGTTTTGATGAAGCGCGAGCTCGTTTCTACGCTGCAGAAATCATTTCAGCGCTCATGTTCCTCCACGAGAAAGGAATCATCTATAGGTGAGTTTTGGTTGCTGGTACCTCGTCTCCTAATTCATCCCCCGCCCTGGCCTCTCCTGGCTTAATCCATCCTTCCACTTCTCATGATAATCAGTTGAAATCTTTTTGGAATTAAATTTACAAAAGTTCTACGTGTCCATTAGGATAAATGAACAAGGTAGTGATGATAAACGCTGCCTCTAAACTAAAACTTGCCCTATTTGATATTCATAAAATAGACCTGAGTGGTTTGGAAAAGACTATTCATGAATTGGTCCAACCAGGGTTTGCTAAGGGCCTGTCATAGCCAAGCCCTGCAAGGCACTAAACACATCATTGTTGTCTTTTTCCCATTTTGACATTTGAAGTAAATCGGTTGATCATGGATCCATTCAATTTTGAGAATCCACACCTCACCTGAAGAATGTGGATAACTGTTGCCCTAAGTTGCTTGTAATAAGAATCACGGTCAGAACGGGGTATGGTTCCCCGTCAAGAGCTAAGAGGTAAACTGCGAATGAGCAGTGTCCTGCCTGCTACTTGTCATTTGTAGCCCCCTCCCAAATAGTATTTGATTCCATTTCATGACACATAATCTTTTGATCATAATATACCACACTTTGAATGGGCACGAAATCTGGTTGGCGGCGTTAGATCTCAGAACTCAGTGGATATCAAATGAAAGTGTAGTCAAAGAGAAGCCTGGGAGGGTGGGAAATGTATGAATGAATGTTAGACAGTTTTTATTCTTAAATTTTCCTTTTTTTCCTATTGTCAGTGTCTTCCCACTCTATATCACATTAGAACCTAGTTGACTTATAGACTTTTTTTCCTCTTAAGATGCAATTGTTGCTTTCCTTTGAGAAAAATTCTTTTATATGAGGAGCATGAATGCCAAAAGAAAGAATTTAATGATTGAAATTTGCTATTTATAGCCTTGTTCATGCGTATTCTTTTTGTGAACTTACGACAGTATTGACATCGTTATTAAAGTATAAGAGAACTTAAAAACAGTGAATATTCTTAAGTACTCTGGGAGTTAAAAAAGAAGAGAGCAAGTAGTAAGACTGTAAAGAATGCAGTAGGACCAGTAGCCGATGCCAGAAAGAACTGGGAAAGCAAACAAGGTAGAACAAGCACTCTGTGGAAGTTTCTTCTAGTGAATTTTCAGTGCAGAGTCCCAAAGCCTCAACTAGAGGTAGCCTTTTATCATAGACCCGAGACCCTGCCCAGCAGAGAAGGGGTGCAGAGCTGGTTGCCAGGCCTGGAGAACAGCAGCGAGAGTCACCTGCTTGAAGGTGATCTAGAATTTTCACTCATTCTTAAGTCCTGGGGCTACCCCAGATTGCTTTAGGCAGCCTGTGTTTGGGGCTTTCTTGCCCAGGCTGTGATGTTCCCCTGGTGGCTCTATCACAGAATTTTTCCTCTTTCTGCCCAGTGTATGATTTGTGGAGGTTGCTGGTCCCATCTCTAATGGCGAGGGGAGTTAAGAGTCCTTCCCCATGGTGGTATCACACTCTGGGTAGTGAGTTCTGCTTTTTTTTTTGAGACAGAGTCTCACTTTGTTGCCCAGGCTAGAGTGAGTGCCGGGGCGTCAGCCTTGCTCACAGCAACTTCAGACTCCTGGGCTCAAGCAATCCTTCTGCCTCAGCCTCCCGAGTAGCTGGGACTACAGGCATGCGCCACCATGCCCGGCTAATTTTTTCTATATATGTTAGTTGGCCAATGAATTTCTTTCTATTTATAGTAGAGAATGGAGTCTCTCTCTTGCTCAGGCTGGTTTTCAAACTTCTGACCTCGAGCAATCCACCCGCCTCAGCCTCCCAGAGTGCTGGGATTACAGGCGTGAGCCACCGCGCCTGGCCGTGAGTTCTTTTGTTCCCCTTTCCATGGCTTTTGCATCCATCTCTGCTCTGCCTACTCCAGAGAGAGAATTTTCCACATTTGATTTTTTTTTTATTAATAGAGTTGAGGTCTTGCTCTTTCACCCAGGCTAGAGTGCAATGGCATCATCATAGCTCACTACAGCCTCAAACTCCTGGGCTTAAGTTATCCTCCTGCCTCAGCCTCCCAAGTAGCTGACTAGATAGAAATACAGGTGTATGCCCCCATACCCAGCTAATTTTAAATGTTTTTTTAGAGATGGGAATCTCTCTATATTGCCCAGACTGGTCACATATTCCTGGCCTCAAGCAATCCCCCTGCCTCAGCCTCCCCAAGTAGCTGGGATTACTGGTGCAAGTCACTGCCCAGAATGTTTGATTTTTAAGATTTATGACTCCCCTACTTGACAAGGTCTTCTGTTGCAAACTGGAATGATAGTATTAGCAACAATAATGGCTGTGCTAAACAGTTGTTATAGGACCAGGACTTTATCTGTATTTCTCTGTTAATTTTCTTAACAATGTTCTTATATAGCAATAATTGTTTGCATTGTTAGATGAATAACTAAGACTTCAAAAGGCTTAATAACCAGACTACTAATGGGTAGTGAACTCAGAATTCAAACCATAGTTCTACCACTCTCTACTAAGGAGAGACTTGAAGATACAGAGTACCACTAAAGGGTTGGCTTCTTGTTCCCCTTTCAGTGATAGGACACCTTTAATTCATGAAAATCAGGCGGTGGGAGCAGAGGAAGCAGTGTGGTCTAAACTCAAGTCCTCCTCTTGTTCAGAGGCTGTAAGGTTTTGTTCATTTGTTTGTCTGTGACAAGATCTCCACTCTGTCGTCTGGAGTGTGGTGGCACAATCATATCTCGCTGCAGTCTCAAATTCCTGGGCTTAAGCAATCCTCCCATCTCAGCCTCTCAAATACCTGGAACTACAGGCCTTTGCCACCACACCTGTATAATTTTTTTTTTTTTTAATTTTTTGTTGAGATGGGGTCTCGCCTTGTTGCCAAGGCTGTTCTCAACCTCCTGGTCTCAAGCAATCCCCCTGCTTCAGCCTCCCAGAGTGCTAGGATTACAGGTGTGGGCCACCATATCCAGCCACAGATTTCAGTACTGATGCAAGGCAGCAAGCTTGTTTTCTTGTGTCAGATACTACTACCTCTCGGCCTGCGTGTTTCATTTGTCTTCAAACATGGTGGATGGACACTGTAACCTAATGTCTCTGGTGAAGCAGTGTCAGCCTACATCTTGAGAAGTTTTATTTTAATGCATGGTATCTGTGGTTCAATTCTGAGCATTGATTTTAATTTACTCTTGAGTCCCATATTCAGGGTCTAACTGATATGGTTGACTTTGAAGGGAGCACATTTAATTAGGATAGATTCAAATGCTATTTTTATCCTGTGGATTTATTTCACAGGATAATTTAATTCCATCCAGTGTGCTGGCTGGGAGCAGAGTCTTAAGGATAAGCCTTTGAAAGCCAAGTCCTTGGAATTCACACGCAGTAAAGGGCACATTTGGGTCACGGAGGGTGTGGCTTTGAGACAGGAGCCTAGTGAGAAACTTGGGCGCATCAGACAGCCTCGTTTATCATGCCTGTGCCGGGACAGCCTGATCAGAGCTAAAGTGATCTCCCCAGAGATCACTTGCCTCTGACCTATGTGTAGAGTTGTTAATTATTTTGAATTTTTTTTTTCTTTTTGGCAGGGGGAGGGTTCTTTCTCCAGTAAGGTAGAGGTGGTACCATCCGCCAGGCACTGTCAAAGAGGACTTTGGAAGGCAGTGCCTTAGCCACCTCCCTCTGATAGGAATTCCTTCTCTCTCAGCTGACTGTGCCCGTGTGAGAGGACACAGGCCAGTGTCATTTATGAGCGTTTCAGCTTGTGTTGTGACCCTGATTCTCAGACACACTCGCTTGTATTTCGTGGAGGAGCAGAACCCAGTTCCCAGGAGATTCGGCAAGAAGGGCCTGTCCCTTTGCCTTTAGTTGCAAGGTCTGGAACCTGCCATGGCCCAGAAGCCAAGAAGAGTAGGCTGGGCAGTAGGCAGTCACCAAGCCAGCTTTGCCAAGGGGGAAAAAGACCGTTCATCCCTTTGTCTTGGGCTTGTTGGCCGACTGGGAGCCCGGACAGTGCTCATGGATAATTTACACGTGGCCTTGACTTTTTTCCAGAGTCAAGCCTTACAGAAAACTTGGGGGAACAAAGGGGCATACATCCCATTGACCAGCACGACAGGCACCATTTTCCATCGTGTTTCATAAACCGTATTAAAGGGGAGTTCAGCCGCCATTGACATTCCAACGCCAAACTCCTAAAGCCAGCCAGCACACATTTGATTTGCTGTTTTTGACAAGAGCATGGGCTATTATATCTGAAATATGTTGGGTGAGGAAGCGTTGATAGAAGGGCACGGCTTCAATTTCAGTTCCTCCTTACCATGTTACACTTGAACACATAGCACTTTTCAACACCCAGTTTCCAACGCATGAGGCTGACCAGTTTATACCTTATGCAGTTCTTGGCATGCTGGGTGTGTGGCAATCGGGGTTTTCTCTTAAAGCTCCAAGCACTTCCGTGGTATTTCGTTGTCCCATTTTCCAGATGTGGACCTGGCCCGTAGAGGAAGGAAGCTCTTGCCCCTCAGAGGCTGACCGCCAGGTCTGACGTACAGCCTTCTACCCCGATGCTTACGTAGCACATGTCTTTCTTTCTTTTTTAAATCCAGCCACAGATTTACAAGAAAAGCACATTAACTTTTAAAGAGGATCACCTTTGATTTCTCCTCAAATTGAGAGAAAAGTCTCTACTTAATTTTACTTTTTTTTTTTTTTTTAATGAGAATTTGGGAAGACTAGCAGTCTCCCTCCAGGATAAGCTGTGTTAAGCTGATCTCTGAACACAGTTGCTGGATCTGTGTGAACATACCATCATCTAACTCTTGTTTCTCAAGGATATTGTGGGTAGTCACAGATGCTTCACGGATTCCAGATACCCGTGTACCTGAACTTAGCTGGGCGAACCTTTGCTTGGTGAGTGGTCTCCTTGTGAGCATTGCTTCCAAGCAAAGCTGTGCTCAGCTGAGAATGCACAAGTGATCTGTTTCCAAATCAGTTTGTGTTTTG